TTACTCTCGTAGAAAGGGACAATTAACAGAGTCGCAAAGACAAGGGGTCATAATCCTGATTGCTAAAAACGGCAAAGATAAAACATTCCTTGAAAACTATAGACCAATCTCCCTCATTAATACAGATGTCAAGATAGCCTCTAAAGCAATTGCAAAACGCATTTATGCCATCCTGCCAACTATCATTCACCCAGACCAATGTGCGTTTGTGAAGGACAGACTTATTAGAGGTGATGCAATTCGCACAGTTGTTGATGTAATGTGGCTAACTAGACATTAAAATACGCATGGCGTGTTAATATCACTGGACTTCAAAAAAGCTTTTGATTCTGTTGGTCACATTGGAGGTATTTAATTTTGGTAACTCCTTTATAAATTGGGTAAAAACGTTTTACAGTAGCATCTCTTTCTGCGTTATAAATCATGGAATGTCAACTGGTTATTTTCCCATTGCAAAAGGGAGACCTCTTATCCCCTTATCTGTTCATTAGTTCATAGCAGTAGTGGCATTACTTGCCTTAGTATTCGAAATAATCCAACTTTAAAAAAAATTGTTAGTAATGTATGCAGACGACTTAACTTGTACAATCAAGCCCACCTCAATGATACCGCTCTTCAATACAGTTAACAAATTTGGATAAAACTGAGGCACTTTTGTTGGGGTATGGTCACTGCCCAAAGGAGAAAATAAATACAAACACACCTTCTGCAAAACCATAGTTTTCAGTGGAAATCCAAGGCCCATAAAAAAACCTCCCACATTTCTTAAACTATTCGCGCTCATTGGCCGAGTAACGACAAATTGCCATACAGCCAAACTGTTATGGTCACTTCGAACGACATTGCTTCGATCAATTAACATTAAATTGACGATACGAAACCGCTTCTTCGCCAAATAGCGTAACATATAAAAAAGTGTATTGACGTGGATTGCTTAAAATACCTATGTGTTTTCTCCAATTGTACAAAGACGTACTTCCTCGTATGATTTCGTCCACCGTTTATTGCATCAAGCCCGAATATGTTGTAGTTCCCATACCATATTGTCGTGATTATTAGTTTAGTTTGATTAAAAACTTATATTTTGTATGTCTTGGATCATTCCCTCTTATATTTGCCGTGTATGTGTCTGAATGGAATGCGGCAGGATAGACTTTCTTCTATGATTATAAATTAGAAGTTAGAGCGAAGAAATGTTTAAGTACAATTGACTGGTCGTGTAGTATATCGCAAACTAAAAACAGGATTTGCGGATCATGGTGGCCAATCAATTCGAATGTATGATAAATGTGCGTATGTTTTCAAAAATGATATGAATTGTATAATTTACTTCCAATTTATCCATCTTTTGTCAGCACGTCTTACTTATACCTTTGCCCGTAATGTGAATGGAGGGAACGGTGCAAGGGAGAGTGGTCTGTCTCGACGTCCTGATCGTTTTATTTCCATGTGAACTGCATTCATATTTTTGATGTCTGTGTGTCTACCGACGTCATTTCTCGGACATTCCTGGCTGGTAAATGGTATACGACACAATCTTGACGTTCTAAGTATGTGCTTGGTTTTTTGTTTATCTTTTCAGGAGTGTTTCCCTCGAAATTTACCATCTTTCGTTGAGTGTCCCTAAAAGTCGGACATGTTGTCATAAACCACATGACAATATTAATTGGGTTATGTAAAATCATGGTACCATGGAATAGCATTATTTTGTGTTTTACACCGATATTTTTTGATAAACTGACACTAATACTTTTCAAAATAACTATTTTTGAACAATTCCATAGTCTAGGAACACAATGTTTTTAAAAAAATGCATTTTTGACTTTTCAATATATGTATTTCTTTCATAGGAACCTATGGTAAAAGCACTATAATACTGACAACATGGCCACCATCTACTAAAATACAACCATCATTTTCTCTAAAATTATGCTGGTGACCGCCAACTTCTTAAGTCAATATCATTGTATTGCCCAGGAGTACAATTTATTGTAAAATAAATAAATTCTGAGTTTTTGCATTTATGAGTAAGCTTCTTTGAGTAATTTCTGAATCATTTATCTGTGAAGCATTGTAATTGAAACGTGCAATATTTGTTATTCGCTTTTTTCATTTCGTTTTATACAAGTTAAATAATATGTTTCAAAATACGGATTCTGAAGTGAGGCGACGATATGAGTGCGAACGTGGTAGAAACCACCACATTGTGTTCTTTTGTTTCAATTTTTATATTCATCCAATCAGAGGCTTTCCCGATAATTTTCTACAAATCTTGTCGATATATATCAAAAGCAAACTTCAAGTTCTGTGTCATTCTCACAATTTGTGTTATATCGCGTTGTAAGTTTCCAGTTTGCCAGTGGGCTTTCTGTTAACAATAAATCTTGAGTTTATTACAAGTCATTCTACTATGATGATTGTTCTGATAGTTTAACAGATAATTTTGCATACTAATTTTAGTTATTTTCCATAATCGCAAACTATCGCCCCCCACAAAGCTTCTTCAGCTTGCTATACCATGTCAGTTTTCACAGAATGTACTATGTTTGTAGATGCTGAACAACATACAGCAATCTATGAAGTGATTCTAAGAACAACATTCTATCATAGGGTGGTCACAACTAACTCTGTTTACACAACAATTAATATAATTTATTGGAAGTTATATCCTGCGACAGGTTATTTAAAAGTCTAAAGAAAATCATGAAACTTAGTTATAAGAATTTTGACTACCTTTCTATTTTAAATGCACACGATATAGATGGGTTAACACTATGACAAATCAAAATTCATTATTTCCTAGTAACCCATCTATCATTCCTCTGTCTTATCTACATGATGGTATCCTTCGTCGAAACATGTTTTAATGGGTAGGCGTCGTATTGAGAGTAAATTATCCAAGGTAAATCAAATATATTGGAATATGACTGCAAGTGTCAGAAAGAGTCGGGAACAGCAGAAGAAAGAAATGCAAATATACGAGTTTCAAGCAATTTAAATACTTTGTTCCAAACAAAGACAATATAGCATTCATCATTGGTTCCGGCTTAACATCTTCGTTCCAATGGTTATATTTCATTTGATTTATTGTTCACATTTTATATCCAAGTTCTATTGGTCTCTTACAGGTCACATGAATATTATTGTGATTTTATAAGAAAATTGTTTTTTTTTTAATTTGAAGTCATACCATTATGCTCATTCCAGTGCAAGTGTTCATGGTAGAAATCTATTGTACGGAGCGCTTTATTTACTTTATTCCATGTACTACCCAGTACAATCGAATTACTATCATTTTCTATTACTGTTGAAGTTATCAGTGTAAATCTTTGATAATGAAATGAAGAACCAACGGCAGGCAAAGAAAATAAGATGCTCTCGGTGACTAAGCAAAAAAGAACGACACCCTTGTACTGTTGGAATTGCGGTACCATTCCTATAACAACCGCTCAAGTCCGATCACGGTCACACCAAGCCTGAAAAACCATTTAAATCGATTAGCACATTTCCTCTGATTTGTCAATGCTATTTCTATCTATAAATTAAATGTGGCTTCAAGTTCAATACTAAACTACCAGCATACATATAGCGTCGTCATTCTTCAAGTTGCATTGGGTCAAAGAAGGTGCAGTAGTATAACTAATAATAACTTTATTACTCAACAATTATCATCTGTGGGTAATGCATGGTAAGAAAACACTACAATAAAACGAAAATTACAATAATAATACTATAAAGAAAAGATTAACAAAAAAAACGTTACTTTTTGTATCAATATTGTTTGTTTAATGTATTTAACTAGAGGAAAACTGTTGTTGCATATGTTTATAAAATTGTTTATTCTATCATGTTTATTTATTACATGTATGTTACATTCTATAAACAGCAATTTTCGTTCTTATTTATAGCGCTCACATTCTAAAATATCGTGGATTTCATTTTCCACTGTTTTATCATTACATTTTGTACATATTCTATCTTTTTCTTCCACTTTTGGCTTCCTTCTTCGTTCTAATTCAATTTCTAGATTATGGTCACTTATTCTGAATTTTGTTAATATTCTTCTCATGCTGAAGTCCTTTATTTCCTCTAGGTATTTTTCAGTTTTAAATATTGTTTTGAATAAACTGTAAGTTCGTAATTTATTTCCCTTGCTTTGATTGTTACTACAACTAACTATTTGACTTTTTCAGGTCTGTTTATATTCATTTTACTTTCGATATTTTTTGAGAACTGATTGATGTTTTTTTTTTATCTCGTTCACCTTTAGTGTCATTAAATTGGTTATCCCCCAAGATATGTTCAATCTTCTTTTTCCAGTTTGTATTGTTTGTAATGTTTTCTTTTAATGCAGTAAATGATTCACTGGCAGTGTGTTTAGTCTATACCAGTATTTGATGTGAGCTTTTTCTGCTTTGATCCTATTTGGGAGTCTACCAATTTCACCCTGAATACCCCTGATTGGAGCTAAAGTAATTACAAATTTGCTCTTAGCTGTTATTGTCCTTTTTTATTTCATGGGCCCAGATTTCTGATCCCTACATTAATATTGTAGATATTAACTGATCAAATATTTTTAGACTCAGTAATACTGAAATATTTGTCTGACTTAGGATTGTTTGTCGTATAGTAAATAGTGCTTTCATTGCTTTGTTTTTGAGCATTACACGGTTTAGTTTAAATTTGCCATTTGGAGTAAATACTGTTCCTAGGTAGCAACATTCTCTAACTGCTGTAACTTCTTGATTGTCAAATTTTTGTTTTACATTTTTTATCAATCTGTTACTTGTGTTAAAAACCATTGCATTTGTCTTTTTTATATTTACACAGTAGTGGCGCCACAAGAGGGCGTGGTAAACAACGATGAACCACCGTTGACCCATTCCCTGAGCCCACCAGGACCGCACCCCAGTACCGCGTACAACAGATACGTGCCCAGTTATACGTATCTTCAACTGAGAGAAGCTATATCAAACACACACACGGAAGTAAACAAGTTGCATGGGCGTGGCGGTGACTAGTTTATTGGCGGACGATTTAGGGTGAGTGTGTTACGATTGCATGATACAAATCTGAGACAAAAACCTGATAGTTATCGTTCAGACTATGTATATGAAAATTGCATACTGTTTTGGTAAACTGTGTCATCCAGAAATGGGATAGGTCTTTTACATTCCACGTTTGTTTGACCATGAATGTTTAGGCATCCATGGTTTGACCATGGGGCGGTGGGGCTAGAAAGGGACCAACAATGATAGTGCCTGACGTATCGGGCAGATTACACGACGCGCTACTACGAGCATGGAGCTACCTCCAATGCTACGAAGAAGTGTCTTTGGTTACATGGGTTATTTTGTACTTACCGAACGCAATTTTGTCGTGCTTTATTTTTTTTTTAATTTTAACTGTAGTTGATTGTTACACAACAGGTGTGCACCGCACCTCGTACGAGATCGTTGTGACTGGTACGAAACATCACAGACTCAGGGGGTCATCAAACTTTGGTTCGTAACCAATGGTTTTATCGTGGACATACTTCCATTGATTTACACTTCCATTGATTTTTTTATCTGTTACTTGTGCTGAATTTGTACCCCCTCCTGTAAATGTGTTTTACAATCGTTTGAGAGTGCAGTTGGATATCAGCACTGTTAAATGAACTGATTTTTGGTACTCAATTTCAAATGTTACATAATTGTATATTTTGGTAATTATTTATCAAACATAACCCTTGGAAGGAATGAAAAGGGAGATGAATAAATGAGTACACAAAATATATTTAAAAAAATAAAACAGTTGAAGGTGCTTGTTGCTGTATATGTTGAATTAATATCAACATTGATGCTATTATACTATTCAATTCAACTTTAAAACCATCTCGTTATGGAGCTGAATTCTCAGAAATAATAGATTTGTTTTAACTAAATGGGATAAAATACCAACTGGCAAATTGCATCTAAAGTTTTGTAAACCATAGACCTTAGATCTATGTGTAAACATACACTTGAATAGATAACTGCCAATACAATTATGGGACAATTTTCTTTGCTGATTAAAATTCAAGCATTTGTTTTTTAACACTGGCAAAGATTCAATAGATCTCCTGGAAAACAGTCTGACAAAATTAGCATATTATGAATAAACTAATCCACCATAGTATTACACTTGCAATCTCTTGAAAGAAAATAGTTTGCCATAAATAATTCCGCCAAAAGTCAACACTAAAAATGTATGAAAAGCAATTACAAACAATTTGAAACAAAAATACATAGAAGTTTGGCGAAATCAAATTACAAAGAAAGAAAGTAAACTGGGGACATTTGCCAAGTTTAAACAAGAATACCGCTATCAAACATTTTTATCAATTAAAAATTTTAAACATTAAACGCCAAATTGGCCAAATTCATGACAAGGATCCATGATTTACATATTAAATCAGGCAGATACATGACCTAAATCAACAATACTAGACTACGAGTACAGTCCAATAAATTGAGGATGAAAGACATTTTTTCATGGTGTGATACAATTTATGACAAGATGTGGCAAAGAAAATAACATTACCACTGACAATAGTAAATGATACAGTCAAGTTCATATATTTATTAGCATTATTTACAATAACACTCAAATATTAATGATTAATACAACTTCATTTATTGTGCCCAGGCTCTTAGTGCTGGTAGGGATACAGTGGTTTTCAGCATAAGTCAATCAATCTGTCTGTCTCTCCATACATTAAGTCTTTTTGAAGACACTGATCAACATATTTAATGACCATATGAATGAATGAATGAACTTATTGTTCCCGTGTAAAAAAGAGTAGGTTACATAGGGTGTTTGCAACAATAAAGAGTTTTTGTTAACAAGACAATATTTTGAAAATAACTAGAATGAATGTACTTAAGATTCACAAATAAATAAATATGTATAAAAATAAATACACAAATAAATTATTAAAGAAATCTAATCTCTAATTTTGGTCGCAGCTAAAATAAAGTTTGATATCTCTTGTTAATTTATCTTGATGTGAAAGTAAATATGTGAAACAAGAAATGTTATTGTCAGCCGGGACTTTAATTTTATGTAACAGTTGAGATCTCTGCTGTTCATATTTTTGACAATCTAAAAGGAAATGGAT